GCCTGCGGCGCGCCACCTCGGGGGGGGAGAGAGTCGGCCCGTGGGGCCCAGGCCACGCCCGTGGGGCCAGGGAGCGGCGAAACGTCGCAGGCCCAGAGATTGACACCAATCAGGAGGGGAAAAAATACACAGACACAATTCATCGGCGATTCCCCGAAAATATAGGGAAATATGGGAAGCAGAGGGGAAGACAAAAACCTAGAAAATATTGGAAAAAATATGGGGAATAGTTTTATTTGTGTGTAGTTATTTGTGTGTCCCAAGGCCCCTTCAACCAACACCAATATCGGAGGTGTGCCTCCACCGAGGGAAGAAGATCCCGATCTCGGCGATGGTGGTAATAGTCCGTCTTCCAGGGTGGCCGAGATATTACCACCAACACCGAAGTCTGGGATTTTCTTCCCCCTGTGGAGGCAAACCCCTGTGTTGGTGTTGGTGCCTATTTCCAGGCCTCCAAAAGCGATGCTCATGGCAGGGGACGTTCTCCGAGTCACCCGCGGGGGGTCGCGAGAAGAGCATCGCGCTTCTTCGCGCGCCGCGGCGAGGGGCCGCGAAGATGCCATGCTCCTGGGCGGCGGCGTTCGGTGGCAACTCACGGGAGCCCTGTACAGTCGACCCGCGTAGTAAACAGCAAAAAAAAAAAAGTCGACCCGCGTAGTGAGGATGGGCAGCCTTCCTAAAGGAACCCTTGCATCCTTGCCTCCTGGCCCCCTGGGCCCATCCTTAGCCACTTCCGCTGGCCGCGCCCCGTTCGAAAAGCCTCGAAGCGGCCTTCCAAGACCCTTGCATCCTCATCGCGCGCATCCTTCTGATACGGGCCGACGGTACATATCCCCGAAGCTCCGTCCTCAGAGTGCATCCGCGCGCGCGCTGGTGCCTGGCACCCGATGAGGAAACGCAGACGCCGACTCTGCGTCGACGCGGCGTCGACGAGCCTCGCCGTCGATGCGTCGTCGAGGAGCGTCGTCGAGGAGCGCCGAGGGGCGTCGGGCCCGGGCCGGCGCGAGCAGCGTGCGGTCGCCGGCTCCTCGCGGCGGACGCGGCGTGAAGAGGGGGAGCGCTGGGGGCGGCCAGGGTAAAACGACGCGAAGATCGGGACAAACTCGGATCGGGATACACCTTAGGCGATGCTTAAGAAAACCTAAGTTTTTCGTCCAGAGTCTCGATTATTCTTAATTTTTCAATGTAAATCCCAAGGTTTTGATAGAAGTTCTGGGTTTTATTCAATTTCTGAGACTATGAATTTCTTAACCCATGATTTCTTAAGCATTTCGCAGGGTGTAACCCGAAATCTCTGAGAATCGGCGGGTTTGGAGGATGTATTGGGCGCCGCGGCCGCTCTCAGAGCGTTCTCCGGAACGCTCGGAGAGCTCTCCCCGGAACGCTCTATGGAGCGATTTCTCCCGATCCCAGCCCTGTTTTACAGGGGGGGGGCGATGCTTAGGGTGGGGGATCTGAGGTCCGGGGCCACGGTATCTCCGCGGCGTCGGGGCTCCAGAGATGGGGGCCAAGGCAAACTGGAGGCAGCCGGGGCGCCGGATCCTGCAGGATCCTGCAGAGTCAGGGGGTGCATTGGCCCGGGCTGGCTTGCAGGATCCTGCAGGGTCCTGCAGGATCCTGCAAGGCCCGACTGACTCGGGTTTGCATTGAACTGGGCCAGTAGATCCCCGACGGGTTTCATGACCCCCTCTTCTTACGTAACCCCGCCCCCTTGGACCGCGCACGTGCCTCGTTCCATGATCTGCAAGCCCGCCTCTTCGACGCCCCCCTCGCGGGCGCCTCCGAAGGAGGCATGCACCCTTCGCATCTGGAGAAGGTTGCCACAGAAGCTGTTTTGCGACCTTCTGCTTCTGAGTGCCCTTACCAAGGAGGCGCCAAAAGCGATTCAGCATGAAAAGTTGGCCCTAGGGACGAGGTCCGGACCTCTGGTGGGGCGGTTTGGGATTGGAGGTTTGAGGATCGAGGTTTGACAGAGGATTGAAGATGTGACCGTCTTCCCATCATCTTGGGGCTCTGGGAGGCTTCTTGTCGCCACGGCTGGATTCGCTTTGAAAATCTTGTTAAAATGCATTCTGGAGAGGTCTGGGGTCGATTGTGTATGGATGAGGGCCCAGAGGACCTGATTTCGAGCATCTGGATTCTTGTTACCAGCGTTGCTCCTCGGTGTCAGCCTTTGGGGGCCATTGCCGGGCCCAAAGCCCGGCAGAAAACAGTGAGAGTTCAATCACCAGCATTGCGTTTTCTGGTTTCCTCGTTCTGCCTCGTCCTCGCTGTTGCTCCTTCTTTCTCGGTTTCCTCGATTCCCTGCTTTGTGTGTTGTGTTTTTCTGTTGCCTCCCGCTTACCGTCCTTCCTTGTTGTTTCTCCTTCCTCCGTTCGCGCGTGCGCTCTTGCTGTAGTGTCGTGCGGCAGTCCCGGCTTCTCCAGTGGTATGCTGTCTCACGTCATGAAGCCATTGGGCGGTGGTCTTTACTTGCACTGCAGGAAGACAGCTGTGGGGGAGTGGATCGAGAGCCCTGAGAAGAGCCAATCCGCTGGACGCATGTCCCTTGCAAATCCCTATTGCCAGATCCCTGACGTCGTGTGTGTTTTTTTCGCTACGTGGACCCCAGAGATCTCGACCCCTTCTCCAGGACTGGCTCTTCATCCTGCGCCATTTTTGTTTCCCGTCGGTCGTTCGAAGTAGGTATTCTTGGATTCCCAGATCCCAATCTACTTCAAGCGCCTTCCTACTTCAAGAATCGAGATGCGTTTGCTGCGTCTTGTTATTATCTGGGAGGGGTTTAAACCGATCTACTTTATCCAGCTGCCTCTGGCAGTCCCGCCACCGTGCCAGCTCAGCATGCTCGGCGGCTCTCTTTCGAGGGGGCATGGAGGTCGTGCTTGCGAGGGGTGAACATCATGATAACGATGGCGATCATGATGATGATGATGCTGCTGATGATGATGCTATAATGGTATGGTGATGCTCATGATCAGGATCATGATGCTGATAATGACGATGAAGATGGTGATGGTTATGGTGACGATGGTGATGATGACGATGATGGTGATGGTGACGATGATGATGATGACGATGATGGTGGAGGTGATGATGGTGGTGGTGATGATGGTGATGGCGATAGCGATGGCGATGATGTGGATGATGATGAGGATGACGATGATGATGAGTATCATAATCACGATCGTGATCATGGTAAAGCTGACGATGGTGTTGTTGATGATGCTGTTGATGATGGTGCTAATGGTGCTTGCGATGATGCTGATGATGCTGATCATGATGATGCGTGTGGTGATGAGTATGATGGTGGTGATGATGATGGTGACGGTGGTAATGTCAATGGTGGCAATAGAAGCAACAACATTGACGACGACGATATTGATAAAGATAATGATGATGATGATGATGATGATGATGATGATGATGCTGATGATGGTGATGCTGATGATTAGGATGATGCTGATGACGGTGATGACGTCGCTGGGAGTGCCTGAACCCAATCTACTTAATCTGCCTTCCCACCTCTTCCGACAGACGTGTATGGCCCTGGGGCCAGGCAGGGCCCCAGAGGCAGGTGTGGCGACGCAGCGGGGGCCTGGCTCGGTCACCCCACTGCCCCTCGGCCTCCTCGAGGCCGAGACGCCCCTGCCAGAGGCTTCCGTGTCCTCCCCTGCCTCTGCGACTTCGAGGCCGAGCCTCGCAGGCTGCCCACTTCCGAAGCTCCGACTCCGGCTGTCCAGCCCTTGCTCTTTCCCCCGCCGATACCTCCTCTGCCCCCCCCCGCCCCGGTCCTCCTCTGGCCCCGGAGCCGCAGGCGGTGCCCGAGCCCGTGCCCGAGCTCGAGAGCCCGAGCCCCCTCGTGCTCCTGTTCCCTGTCCTGGCTCTGCCCCCCCCCACCTCACGGAGCGCGCTGTGCTACTCGCAAGGTGCCTGCTTGCAAACGTCCGAGACACACACTCACACCGCGCACACACACACACACACACACACACACACACACACACACACACACACACACACACACACACACACACACACACACACGCACACGCGCGCGCGCGCACACACACACGCACACACGCACAAACACAATCACACACACACACACGCACACACACATGCACAAACACGCACACACACGCGCACGCATGCACGCACGCACGCACGCACGCACTTACAAACACACACACACACACGCGCACACACACCGACAACACGCACACAAACGCGCACACACACACACACATACACGCAACCACACGTGCTTGCGTTGATGTAATAGTCCGTAAGTCCCCCGCGGCGGACCAAGCCATCTGCGAGCACAGTCAGCCCGCATAGTATGGATGGGCAACCTTCCAAAGGGTACCCTTGCATCCTTGCCTCCTCGGCCTATGCTTGGCCGCTTTTGCTGGCCGCGCCCCGCTCGCAAATATTCGGATTGGCCTCCCAAGGCCCCTGCATCTTGTCGCGCATCCTTCTGGTTCGGTCCGGCTGTAGATCGTGCATCCCCCGCGGGGGACCCAAGCCATTTGCGAGTAATTGCACGCTTGTCAGGCGATCGCAAACATGGATCAAGGGGGCGTGGATTAGCGACGGGTCCCGTTTGCATGGGAAAAATCGCGGATTTCCGCCGCCGAGCGAGGCGGCACCGGCCGCATTTTGGGGAGGGCTCCTCCCCCGATGCATGGATTTGGCGACCGCGCGCAATAATCCATGGATCGCTCATCCATGTTTGCGCGCCCCCGAGCTCGGCTGCCCCGCTCGCAACTGTTCGAATTGGCCTTCCGAGGCCCTTGCATCCTTATCGCGCATCCTTACGATACGGGCAGATTGTAGATCGTAAGTCCCCCGCGGCGGACCCAAGCTATTTGCGAGGACTTGCACGCTTGGCTGCCCCCGTGGTCCTCCTGGCGCGCCAGGACGAGATCGCGTCGCTGTCCACCAGCGCCGCCGCGGCCGCCTCCGCGGCGGAGCGGGCCGCCGCCGAGGCGGGCACGCAGGCCGCCCCGCCCCGCCTCGCCCCCCGGCGCGCACCCGGGCTGCGCGGTGCAGGCGCGCTGCCTGTGCGGCGGGCACTCGAGGTAGGACGGCGGCATGCAGTCGAAGATGGAACAGCGGCAGAAGCATATATAAACTTTTGACGCTCCGCGCGGATCTCTTGGATCTGCGCTGGGCCCCCCTGGCAGCGCCCCCGGCGCCGCCAGGGAGGGGGCTCCGGCGCAGATACAAGAAATCTGCGCGGAGCGCTGAAAGTTTAGGTTGTGCCGTTTCTTCCTCTTCTTCTGAAGATGTCGGCCTGCCAGCAGGTGCAGCACGGAAGTGTCTTATCCACCCGATGGTCCTAGGGAGCCACAGAAGCCTTGAGACACCTCGGTACCTGAGGGCCCTCCAGGGTCGCCGAGAAGCGCCCCAGGGGTGCCATGCTGGGTAGAAGGGCTCGACCAGGTAGATCGGGCTCCCTCTCGTGGTCCCCTCTTGGGGGCCCCCTTGGACCCTCTTTGGGGCATCGGGGACCGCCGTGGGGCCATGCGGCTGCGACGACGCCGACAACGGCGGCGGCGATGACTACGACAGTGGCGACGAGCGATAGCGACGAGGGCGACGACGACGGTAACAAGGACGACGACGACCATGACCACGACGACGACGACAACGGCGGCGGCGGCGATGACGGCGACGGCGACCTGCCGCCCCAGGGGTCCGGCGGCAGGCTTCGGGAAGCTCCAGGGAACCGGACAAAGATTTCGAACATTCAAAATATTCGAGCCTCGATCGGTGGACGTCGATCCTCGCACCTCGATGCTCGCTCGATCCGCACCATGCTCATATCTATATGTATATATGTATATATAGCACGTACATACCCACATATATATAATATGCTACAATATACCATATTCCGTGTACATAGAAAGGGGGGCCAGACCCAGGGGCCGCAGGGCCGCGACCCCGGCCACACACGGGGACACCGGGGGCCCGGCCCGCCTGCGGGGTCCCGAGATGGCTTCCGAGGGCCACGGACAGCCGCCGCGGCGGCCAGAGGCGGCCCCGAGGCACCCCCGCGGCGCCCTCCAGGGGTCTCCGACGGCCCAAGGTGGCTTCCGAACGGCCCAGGAGGCGCCCACGACACCTCCAGACCGCTTCCAGAGGACCCCCAAGAGGAGTCCCGAGACGCAGCAAACGCCCCCCAACCCCCTGGGAAGGCTCCAGGAGGCTCCCAAGAGGCCCCCCGCCGGGCCCCGACGGACTTCCAAAGAGACTCCAAGATAATTACGTCTGTGGGGCCCTTGCCCACAACCCAGCCATATTCACCTGATCGATCCCAGACGGCCCCGAATCGGCCCCAATACGGTTTTCAAGAGTCTCCGACGGCATAGAGGAATGTGTGTGTGTGTCTGTGTGTCTGTCTGTCTGTGTGTCGGTCTGTCTGTCTGTCTGTCTGTCTGTCTGTCTGTCTGTCTGTCTGTCTGTCTGTCTGTCTGTCTGTGCGTGTGTGTGTGTGCGTGTGTGTGTGTGTGCGTGTGTGTGTGTATCTGTGTGTATGTGTCTGTGTGTGTCTGTGTGTGTCTGTGTGTATGTGTGTGTCTGTGTGTGTGTCTGTGTGTGTGTGTCTGTGTGTGCGTTTGTGTGTCTGTCCGTGTGTCTGTGTGTTCTGTGTGTCTGTGTGTGTCTGTGTGTGTGTCTGTGTGTCTGTGTGTCTGTGTGTCTGTGTGCCTGTGTGTCTGTATGTCTGTGTGTCTGTGTGTATGTGTGTCTGTGTGTCTGTGTGCCTGTGTGTCTGTCTGTCTGTGTGTCTGTGTGTGTGTCTGTCTGTGTGTCTGTGTATCTGTGTGTCTGTGTGTCTGTGTGTCTGTGTGTCTGTGTGCCTGTGTGTATGTGTGTCTGTGTGTCTGTGTGTCTGTGTGTCTGTGTGTCTGTGTGTCTATGTGTCTGTGTGTCTGTGTGTCTGTGTGTCTGTATGTCTGTGTGTCTGTGTGTCTGTGTGTCTGTGTGTTTGTGTGTGCTTGTGTGTTGTGTTGTGTTGTGTTGTGTTCTGTTGTGGTGTGGTGTGGTGTGGTGTGTTGTGTTGTGTTGTGGTTTGTTGACTGTGTTGTGTGTATTGTGTTGTGTTGTGTTGTGTTGTGTTGTGTTGTGTTGTGTTGTGGTGTGGTGTGGTGTGGTGTGTTGTGTTGTGTTGTGTTGTGTGTTGTTATGTGCTGTGCTGTGCTGTGCTGTGTTGTCTTGTGTTGTGTTGTGTTGTGTTGTGTTGTGTTGTGTTGTGTTGTGTTGTGTTGTGTTGTGTTGTGTTGTGTTGTGTGTGTTGTGTGTGTTGTGTTGTGTCTGTGTGTCTGTGTGTCTGTGTGTCTGTGTGTCTGTGTGTCTGTGTGTCTGTGTGTCTGTGTGTCTGTGTGTCTGTGTCTGTGTGCGTGCGTGCGTGCGTGCGTGCGTGTGTGTGCGTGTATGTGTGTGTGTGTGTTTGTGTGTGTGTGTGTTTGTGTTTGCGTGTTTGTGTAATTGTGTGTTTGTGTTGTGTTGTGTGTGCTTGTGTGAGGTCGTGTGTGTGTTTGTGTGTTTGTGTGTTTGTGGGTGTTTGTGCGTGTGTGTGTGTGTGTGGGGGGGGGGGGCGGGCATGCGTGCGCGTGTGTGTGGTGTGTTTGTGCGTGTGTGTGTGTGTGTGGGTGTGTGCGTGCGTGCGTGCGTGTGTGTGTGTGTGGGTGCGTGTGCGTGTGTGTGTGTGTGCGTGTGTTTGTGTGTGGTGCGTGTGTGTGTGTGGTGTGTGGTGTGTATGTGTGTCGGCCCTTGTCACTGGATATTGACGGACCCAATCGCATCTTCGGTTTTTTGGTGAAGGTGATCTGGGTAGCGGGTAATCATCGCGCTGGGTACTTCTCCTCGACTTCGTTTCTGGAGGGCCAGTTTCGGGACCTGGGGGCCGTCAGGGATCGATCCGGTGTGGCCTTGAGTGGGTCCCAGGTAATCATGGCGTCAGATTTTACGACTCTTGGTGCATCAAGCCTTGAGGGTTTTCTCACCGGCTTGCGGGCCTGGGAAGTTGCTGGCCAGGGGATCGGTGTATGCGAACGCAGGTGTATTCCCCAGGCGGTGCTTGCCCCAGAGGCTCTGAAATCATTCGTCCCCCGGACAGGAGGTTCGAACTTGTGCCACTCCCCTTGATTGGATGGGTGCGGCGGCGTTTTTGCCCAGCGCCCAGCTCGTGGCCGCGGTGCCGGCCTGTGGCCTCGGGGGCGCGCCCTGTGGGCGCCTCGTGCCACCGGCGGGCTGTGCCAATATGTTTCGCCTGCGGCGCGCCCGTGGGTGCGTCGGGGGCGCCGCGTGCGCTGGACAGCCGCACAGTTTGCACCCCCCCCCCCACACACACACACACACACACACACACACACACACACACACACACACACACACACACACACACGCACACACACACACACACACACTGCACCACCTCGCCTTTTACCACCGCCTTCACCACGTACCTTGCGCCACACAGCCCTCACCACGTTGACTACAAAGTGTGTGCACCTCAAAGAGCTTGCACCACACAGCTTAAACACAGCGTAGCGTGCACCACACAGAGTGCACCGCGTAGCTTGCCATTCGTAGATTGCATCGAATAGCTTGCACCACCTAGCTTGCATCTCATAGCTTGCACCGCGCACATTCACCATATAGTTTGCATCGCATGGACCGCACCACAGACCTTGCACCACGTATCTGACGCATCCACAGTGCAGTAATTTCCTGCTCGGGGTCAACGCTGGCGAACATGTCCCAAAGGAATTGGATGGTGGTTGGTTGTGATGATGATACGCGAGCTTGACGTGACGGCATGGCTGGCAGCGCTGGGGCAAGGATGTTCCCAATGATGTTGTCGCTGGCGACTATGTTGATTCTGATCTTAATGCTTTTTATGATGACGACGAGCAAGATGATGAGGAGGAGTATGAGGGTGAGGATGGGGATCAGGATGAGGGTCAGGATTGGTACGACTATGGCACACGCTCGTGCATGACAGCGGTGTCCAGGCTCTTCCGGCGACCCCTCGGCCTGCGCTAGAACCTGAGCGCGCTTCGCGCGCGCGGAATGGATCCAGCATACTATATATATACACACACATATATGTATATATATATATATATACATATGTGTGTGCATATCGATCTACATATGTATATATGTGTGTGTGTACGCATGCGGAGATATGTATATATGTGTGTACGCATGCGGAGATTGATAACGATATGTGTGTACGTTCCTCCTCCGATGTTTTTACACGCTGGTGGGGGGGGGAGGGGGGGGGCACCCCCTCCCCCAAAAGAACAGGACCCCCCCCCCCTGGGGGATCTGGATCCCCTGGGTGCCCCCCGGACGCCCCTTTCCCGAGGCTTCCCGGGCCTGCTCCGGAGCTCCCCGAGGCCCCTCGGCGAGGCCTGGGCCGCGGGCCGCGGAAGCGGCCAGGGAGGGCGGCCGAGCTGCCCCCGAGCTGCCCTCGAGGAGGCTCCGGGGCACCCACCAGGGCGCCCGAAGACAGACGCGGAGAAGACCCCCAAGAGGCTCTCGAGACGCAGCAGACAACAGTCAGGAGGGGAAAAAACACGCAGACACAATGAATCGTCCACTCCCAGGAAAATATGGGAAAATATGGGAAGTGGGGGGAAGACAAAAACTCCAAAAAATATGGGGAAATACGGGGGACGTTTTTATCTGTGTGTACTTATTTGTGTGTCCTGGGGCCCCTTCAAATAGTTCCGAGGGCCGTTGTATGATTCTGGGGATGCTCTGTTCTTCTGGGCGTCAGGGACCTCCCAGGAGGCCCGAAGACCGCCCCAAGGCTAGCTGGAACGGTTTCCGGGCAGCACAAGAGAGCCCCAAGACGGCCCAACAGGGCCCCAAGATGGCCCAAGGAGAGCCCCAGGACGGCCCACGATGGCCCCAAGACGCCCCCCGAAGCATTCCAAATCGAGGCCCGGTCGTTCAGGGAGACCGCGGTTGGAAGCAGGGT